GTTCCACTTGCCTTAGTGGGGAAGAACTCCTCATCAAATCCTTTTGTAATAATGTATTGAGTAGATAAAATTATATTAAATGGTGGTATAGGGCTAAGACAAAGTGGATTGAAGAAGGAGATACAAATACTATATTCTTTCACAATATAGTTAGGACTAGGACTAGGAAATTTACTATTAGAATCGTTCCTCTAAACGATGATAAGTTTTGTTTTAGTAGTACAAACATCTTTAATTTATTTGTTGATTGGTATTCTATTCTTTGGGTTGAGTGAGAATCGTTCTACTAGTTGTTAGACTAAGTATCCTGAATTACCTATTATCACTGATGATCAGACACTTTTATCTCACTAAAGTCTACAATCCTAATTAGATTTTCAAAACTCTTTATCCAATAGGGCTTGGAAAAGCTCCGTCTATTCTTAAGCATGATAGTGTTAAGTCCTTTAATATTTTCCATAACGAGTCTAGGCTTCCTTCTAGTTGGGGTATAACTAGTCTTATTTTCATCCTAAAAGAAAACATCATCTAAAATAATATATATTATAGATTAATTATTTTATGCAATATCATTTATAAGTTACCAAAGTCCTTATTCATATATTAAAAAATCACTTAAAATAATCTTATTAGCCAAGAGCATATTGCCTTTATTGTTGATAGGGACATCTATGATAATATAGCCATAGCCAATGAAATAGCTCACTCCAAGTTTTTTTTTCTCATTATCATCAAAATTAATTTGAAATAAACTCATGATAAGTTTTTTTGAAAAGTCATCGATATCTCTTTCTAAATAAATATACCTGTTCAATTTGTTAATTGGATCATGACATGTGTTAACTCTTTTAGTTTTCAATATTATATTAACAATTACACCTCAGGTAGTTCTGTATTAGGGAAAGTGATATTATTTCCCCTTAACTATTTATGTTAGTTCAATAGATTCTCTCTTCTCTATCACACCAAAATGTGTCATTTGAAAATATTATCCTCTTAACATCAAAGGCACTAAGAGATTTTCTACCTCATATTTGTAACAATGTGTTTCATTATTAGGGGAAATAACAGGTCATGTACCCACCTTTCTAGAATTATAAATTTATTTAGATATTTGACTAGACTTAAGGTTAATAATAGTAAAACTAAATTTCTTTTTTTCAAATTCTATTCCCTAGATTCCAAGCACCATATTTGTAGCACTTTAGGGTTAAAGAAGGATCTTAGCTTATTCCTTACCTTGGGGCTTATATCACTCAATTTCTTACCTTTTAAATTTCAAAAGTTAATTATGGATAAAGCTCTTAGTCGAGTCCAAGGGTAGAACAAGAGGTTCCTATCTCAAGCTAAGAAATTTGTTCAAATAAGTTCTATTCCTTACACTCGTCCACTTCACTCATTAGTCATTAATTATATTATTAAAAATATCACTAATAGAACTCTCTAAGATCACCAATGGCTACTTTTAGAGTGACAAAAAAAGAGCACGGGAAACTTAGACTCATAAATTGGGATCAAACACATCTCTTTTCTTAAGGACATTGTTGAAACCAAAAGGATTCTTCTTCCCCTTCTTAATAGAGATAATAAAATATAAATTAATATCTTAATTAGCAAGTATGGTTGCCCTCCCTCGTCCATGACTCATTCCTCACAATAGAGGTTCTAGGACTAGGAAAATGCTGTGCTCAATGATCCATAAAGCCAAACCTAGCCTTAGGAAGCTTATTAGCATCGGTAACAACATAAACATTTGGGATGATCCATGGTTAGACAATAGAACCATTAACAAATGACTTACTTATATTAACATTAATATCATTCATGCTCATGACAAGATAGCTGACTTAATTTATTATAAACACTAGAAAATGCAAAAGTTATATATGATTTTTCATCCGGCACTCATGGAAAAATTATTACTATCATTCATATCTTTCTCGGTGATCATAATGATAATTTGGATTTAGACCTTATACCCTAAAGGTGAGATATATTCCAAGAGCCTATAATAAAATTTGTGGTGGGCATTTTAACAATAGCAACGAAGGGATGGAAGGGCTGTGTGGTGAGATTATAATGTAGTCTTAAGTATTCAACCTAAAGTTTTAACGTTTTGTGTGAAAACTATTGTGGAAGCGATTAACTTTCTAGAGTCATACATTATTTTCCTAATCCTTGTCCTGTTTGTCATATTGGACTAAATTCGTGTAATCATATTTTCATTGAATGTAGAGTGACATTGAAGTTTGATTTCTTTGGGGGATTGGGATAATGGAGCTTGGTTGAGAGAACGGCAAGATTTCGCGTGGTAGTATGCAAAGCTATTGCATCATTATGTTATAGCTAATTCATCTTAACTTATTTGGAATAACAAAAATGAGAATCCTCACTATAATCATTCTTCCTCCCCCGATATAACTTATGTGATGTAGAATTAAAGCTTTAACTTTAATCTTATCATCATTCTCCAAAGATTTTGTGGGTCCTTTTCAACTATACGAGGAAATTTCTCCATTCCGTTGAGGAAAATCCTCCGAGGAAAATCCTTCCTCTTAATCTATATAAATAGGAGAGGGACAGCTTAATGTATTCAAGCTAAAGCTTCTTATCTTCAATAATTGTTCTTATTTTCTATTTTGTTGAGGAATGAGGAAATACTTCCTCCATAAGATAAATAGGAGAGGGACATATTAACGTATTCAAGCCAAAGCTTCTTATCTTCAATAAAGCTTCTTCAATAATTATTCTTATCTTCTATTATTTTCATCAAATGAGAGATAGTAGCTACAGGTGTATGCACATATAAGACTAAAGTTTTTATAATATATGAGTGTTCTGATGTCTATTATCTAAATTTTGAACAAATAAGAAATGATACCATGATGGTATCAAAATTTATGCATTGATGTTTTTGTTCGTCAAAATGAGGTCTTACATTTCTACCTAGGGGTTCAAGTTTTATTGCCCACAAGCTTGCTAACAAGGCAAGGATTGAAGGGTATTTTTCCTAGTGGAACGTCACCACTGATTTTTTAGCTTGGTTGATCTTTTTGAATGCATGATCTTTAATTTTTTTTCTTAAAAAAATAATCATTACTATAATATATGATTTTGTAATGAATGTATAAGAAACTTCATTATTTTTTCGTGTAATAGAACACTAAACCTATCGTAGGATGGTAAAAACTTAACTCGGACACATCTTTTTGTTCAGATTCTCAAAGAGGTGGAGTTGGTTTTCTGATAAGATTTTTGGATGGAAGATGTATTGTGACTAGTTATAAGGCAATTTAATAAGAAAATACTATATATTCTTGAAGGAGTCAAATTGGCAATAAGTGATGGCAAGGATATTCGACTGACAAAATTAATGAATAAAGATGAAAACCCTTGGTGATAAATCTTTGGATGAAAGATAGATATATTATGAGTAGTTACAAGATAATTCAACAAAAAAATACTAGATATAAAGATGATTGTGAATCAAATTGGCAATAATAGAAGGCAAAAAATATTCAACTTGCAAAAATAAAATAATAATAATAAATAAATAAATATTTTTCTTTTCTTTTCTTGAAAATATTAATTATTTTTCAAAAGTTTCCAAGTTGACGAGGGTGATATGGATGGGTTGCACTGGATTTCTCTGTAGGCTGCAAGTATCACAATTAAGCACGACATAATGGAGGGACTCGATTCCATTTGAAACAGTAAAAGCATCTTATACTCCTCTAACTTATTTCCCTGCTTGTCTCATTAATCTGTCATTTCAGATGGAAAAAAATTGGAGGTTTGAGTGAGTCATACATATACTACCGCTCCATCGCATTGCACAACTTGCAAATGACTTGAAAGAGGACCACATAAATAATAATTGTACAAACCGATGAGAATAATATCCAGTGATTTGTCTCCGGTGGATACAGATATGGATTCTTACCATTTAGCTGGAATCTGCAGCAAAAGAACCACCTTATCAAGAATCTGGTCTGCATTTTGCTCAGCATAGTAGCAATTCTTATCTTGGGATGATCTCTCTCTCTCTCTCTCTCTCTCTCTCTCTCTCTCTCTCTCTCTCTCTCTCTCTCGGACCTTAACAACATTCGATATCTGATGGAAGATGTCAACTTTTGATCCTTGGTCACAGTCTAGATTCTGTTGAAGCAAGCAAACTTTCGCTGCTGTGAGTCTCGAAGACTCCATACATGGGTATACAAGGTAAACAACTTTCAGCACCATGGTTTGGTTCATCGGTTTCGGATCGAACAGGCAGGAATTGGATCTGAACGGTTCAGTTATGGTTCCTGATTTTTGATGACCGAAAACGATGAACCGATCCTACACAGTTCGATTTTGAATTAGAGATCACTCGCTCGTAATTCAAATCTAAAAACGTATTCTTCTTATGCGAGCAAACGAGAAGATCACACCGAATCGATTAGTCACAGGATATATATATATATATATATATATATA